TTATAAACCATAGAAGGATTGCTATAGTCCAATAACTTTTGAAAGAAAAACTTCTAACAGATCTACTAGTTCCTCCCATCCGAGAAATAGTTATTGGCGACCCGCACGCATGCTAAAGGTAAAGGAGTTAAGGGGCCGCCTGAAAATCAGCGCTACACAGGTACATCTCGCTGGAACTGTGCATATATAGCAACAGCTGGGGCGGCTCCTATTACCAACAACACTAATTGTTTTTTTTTTTCATTTTATTGTTTTAATTTTTTATTTTCATAATACTGGTAATAAAGGTTATCTATCTATCTATCTATCTATAGTTTTTAAATAATATTCCTTACCAGTTATTCAATTACCAGAGGGAGACTTTGTACAAAAGTCGATTGCTTGGGTACCTCTGTCCCATTCGTGTTTCAACCGTAAAGCAATTGTGTTCACATGGCTGTGTTTCGGTTTGAAGGGTGGGATGTGGCGTGAATTTACTGGGTACGGAGGAATAACACCTGAGTCCTCAGGAATGGCAACGCATGGGGGTATCATGGGCGAAACAGTATACTCTGTTATGTCCATGGTACTGCTCATGTCTATAGGCGACGGTTACCACTTTCCATAAGGTGGGTCGTCAGCTTGTTTGCCATTCTAAGTTGTATAAAAAAAAAACTAATAATGCGTTTAGAGTTCTGTTGGGACTGTCCCGGTTTTGTAGTGCATCGGGAATGTTCGCTGAGGCGCGTGTTGATTGTTTCTATGCCACTATGCGAAAGAGGTTATTCAATCCATGTTAGCTGAGCCTAAACCAGAAATTTTTTAACATCTCTGTAAATTATTGATGCCCATTAATTCTTCTCTTTCCGTGTCTAGGGAAAGTAGATAAAGCTTTATCTGAGAAATCAGTTCAGGGTACGATAGGGTTGATATGCCTGAAGAAGGTAAGCCTTTAAAAATAAAACAAAAACTTTTTATCAGCTAATTTTCAAATTAGCTGACTCGTTTTTTTTACCAGTATTTTATATACGTACGCATAAAATGTATCTTGACGTGTTATTTAATAAATAAAATGAGTGTTTTCGCATTAAAAAGATGCAGAAATTATAAGACAAAATAAATATAGAAGTTATAAAGGAATCACTCGTAACTATTTATCACACAAATTGTATGAAAAAATTAACTGGTTTTTCTCAAAGCATTTCTATAGAGATAATCTAAGCGAACTATGTATTGTTTTTTTTAATGGGTGATAATGGAATGGTAACCCTGCCTGCGCTATCGGTATACGCTGACAGGGCACCAGTGAATGATGATAAATGGGGATGAAACAGATCAGTTGGCCCATAGTGATGAATTCATACAGAATTGACCAAGATGGTTACCAGGGGGAACCGCGTGGAGGTCGACCTGATAACGTGTATTGCTAGCAACGGGGCTGTTCGATTCCAATCACTAACAATCACTTTCCCCCTGCTGTGTATTGGTTGTTATTTTTTTGGCGAATGTAAAACTCGACATGCCTACATTTTATAATAGATCTGTTTACAAAATATCAACTTGTTTAATGGAATTTGTGTCCATTTGTATACTTAGTTTGTATTATATGTTATTGAAACATTTGTCTAACTAACACGAAGCACGTTTGTCCTCTAAGTGATCGTACAGTGGGTAAGAGATTTTGATTAGTAAATTAGTAATTTTTAAATACAGTTTATTTTTTTTTAATTTATATTTCTTTTATATTAATACCCGCCTATGTACTTTCTATTATAACACATTGTGATTTGTTAATCCTTGTCGACTGTCCACGATACAGGCTCGCCTAGTGTGCGGTCCATTTTTTTTTTAATGAATAATTATGATATGGCAACCCCGTCTGCGCAGGTGGAAAGGGATTGTTAGTAATGGAGATTGAGAATCCCATTGCTAGCAATATACCCAACCAGGTCGACCTCCTCGCTGTTCCACCTGGAAACTATCATAGTTAATTCCTGATGAATTCATCATGATGGGCTAACTGGCCTGTTTTCATTCTCATCTATCACCCTTCACTGGTGCTCTGCCAGTGTATCCCGTTAGCGCGGGCAGGGTTACCATAGCATTTTCACTCATTAAAAAAAAAACCCCGTCTGCGCTATCGGTATACACTGCGGGGCACCAGTGATAGATGACTGATGAGGATGAAAGTAGGTCAATTAGCCCATCCTGACGAATTAAACTGGAATTAGTCACGATGGTTTCCAGGGGGAATCACGTGGAGGTCGACCTGACAGGGTATATTGCTAGTAATAGGGCTATTTGGCCCCACTACTAACAATCCCTTTTCCCCCCTAGTATGGGGTCCATTGTATCTTGTGTTTGTAACATTGTGTTTTCGTCAAATAATAAATTTTTATTCTATTCTAATTTCTTAAGATATCCTTCGGTATAATTTATAGATATTATTTCAGCCGTTAACTGTCCACTGTTGGACATAAGCGGATTCCCCATAAGTGGTCTTTCGGATGTATTTTTTTTATACGAATTAGAATGGCAAACAAGCTGACGGCCCACCTGATGTAAAGTGGTAACCGTCGCCTATAGACACGAGCAGTACCATGGACATAACAGAGTATACTGTTTCCGCCCATGATACCCCTCATGCGTTGCCATTCCTGAGGACTCAGGTGTTATTCCTCTGTATCCAGTAAATTCACGCCATATCCCACCCTTCAAACCGAAACACAGCCATGCAAACACAACTACTTTACGGTCGAAACACGAATGGGGCAGAGGTACTTAAGCAATCGACTTTTGTACAAAGTCTCCCTACATACATACATACATATCTGTCACGCCTGTCTCCCTCTGTTTTGTTAATATGTAAAATTTTCCATCAGGCACACCTTCAGCTTGTTTATCATTTCAGGACTTAATAATAACTTTATTATTATTATCCTTCGCGGATGGTATGCGGCATCTGTACTAACAATTTGCGCACATACAATATTTTCTGTTGTTTAAATTAATTTTACTGTTATGCATAATTAAAAAAGATTATTTAATTTTTAACTAACTGTAAATTGATACATATATAATTTCTTTGCATTACTAACAGCACACAAATAACAATACAAACATAATACAGACGTACACAGTAAAAAGAGATAAAATAATAAAAAAAAGCAACAAAAAAAGCAAAATATACAAAACAACAATTTCCTCCCTTCATGCATGTGCCACAGTAACACAAAATGGCCACAAGTCTGTTTATTGATTTGCCTTTAAAAGAGCAAAACATTAATATTCTATTGTAGCCAAGCTGTATTTTTTTTTATACAACTTAGAATGGCAAACAAGCTGACGGCCCACCTGATGGAATAGACATGAGCAGTACCATAGATTTAACAGAATATACTGTTTCGCCCATTTCTCCATTTCTCCATTGGTATATGAGGGTACTAAGATGCTTATAAAGAGAAAAACCTGGGGCTTATTATGGATAGTACATTGTCGTGGAGCTCTCATATTAATGACATTAGTAGACGGATGTACTCTTCATATCACTCTCTCAAATGTCTTCAATACTTTCTCTCTTTCAATACCAAAATTATGCTTGCTCGATCGATTCTACTCCCTATTCTGGACTATGTCAACGTCTGTTTTTTAGATGTGATTACGATTAGATTATGCTAGATTGAATATTTAACTGCGATTATCAATTATGGCCTGAAACTCTCTGACATGTTAGATTTTCACATGCTCGGTGAAATGTTGATTGTTATGTAGTTTATTGTATTGTTAGTAGTCGCCACGCTTGGCAGGCGGATTGGCAACTGCAGTTAGGCTTTGGAAATATTTTAAAAGGGACGCTGCTGCCTAACCCTTGACTTCCCTTAGTCGCCTCCTATGACGTCCATGGGAAAGGAAGGGGTGGCTTATCTATGCTGGGATCACAATGGTAACAGTTGACGAATGTCTTAGACTACTCCAACACGGAGTAAGCCTATACTATCTATGCTAATAGAAGAACGCTGAAGATTTTGTTTGTTTGTACAAGTTAATCCCTAAAACTGGGGGAAAGGGATTGTTAGCAATGAAGTTTGACAGCCCCATTGCTAGCAATATGCTCTATTAGGTCGACCTCCACGTGGTTTTCCCTGGAAACCATGGGCTAACTGGCCTGCTTCATCCTCACCTATCATCCTTCACTGGTGCCCCGGCAGCGTATTCCTATAGCGCAGGCGGTAATAATGGAATAGTTTACCATTCCATTATCACCCATTAAAAAAAAATCCATAAAGCTACCAATTGAGTTTGAAAGTTTCTTTTTTCATTAACCGACTTCAAAAAGAAAGAGGTCCTCAATCTGGTGTTGTAATTTTTAATGTTTATTACTTCATAACTCCGTTACTTCGGGGGGAAAGTGATTGTTAGTAATGGAGACTAAGAATCCCATTGCTAGCAATATACCCAACCAGGCCGACCTCCTCGTGGTTCCCCCTGGAAACTATCATGATTAATTCCAGATGCATTCATCATGATGGGCTAACTGGCCTGTTTTCATTCTCATCGATCACCCTTCACTGGTGCTCCGCCAGCGTATCCCGTTAGCGCAGGGGGGTTACCATTCCATTTTTATCTAATAAAAAATAAAAACCGTTACTTCTAAACCGATTTGGATTTTTTTTTCTTAAATATATTTACAGGTTATTTCCATAGACATTTTTTTAAAATTAGTTCAATAGTTTAATTTTTAGACAAAAGGGTTTTGTCACAATTGGATATTTTTTTTTGTGGGGCAAAATCCTCAATTATTTGACAGCTTATTTCTTTAGGAAGGTCTATTCGTCATTGTGGTAAGACGACGAGCAAAGTCGCTGGATACAGGTGTGTATTATGTAAAAAGGCATTCAAGCGCATTACCTCGTGACAACAGTGTTCAAGTCAATCGTCACGATGCATATATTTTTCATTGGTTAAATAAAAACATCTGTACATATAAACGGAAAGTCAAACATGAAATTCCATATAAATATGGGGTAAAAAAAATTAATTCAGTTAGTGATCCTGAAAAATGTCATTGAAACTGATCGTGTTGGCTGCACTGGTGAGTTTACGTTGGAGACATTCATTGTGAACCGAATTCGAAAAAGGGCTTCATAATACATTTTATCGCATCCAAAAATATTGTAATAAGTACTTAAATTTTTTTTTTTTTGGTAATTTTGAATCGATTTTCATTATTGTTCTTGAGCCGACTTCGAAAAGGAGGTGTCCAATTTGTTTGTTTCTTTTTTATTTACATTTCTCACCTCATAACTCCGTTAGTTGTAAAATGATTTTTTAATTTGGAAAATTCCTTTTTTTTTATTTGAAAGGATATACTTACAAATTGGTTCCAAAGAAATTTTATTAAAATCTGTTTAGTAGTTTAGTTTTCAAAATAAAGTAACTGTTTTTGTCACAATTAAAGTTGTTTTTTTTTCGATATTAGTACTTAACCAACTTTGAAAAAAGGGAATCTTAAAATGACAGTCTGTCCGGTCTGTTTAGTTTTTGTAAATAACTGGTTTCGTCACAATTGAAGTTGGTTTTTTTCGATATTAGTACTTAACCAACTTTGAAAAGGGGTCTTTAATATGACAGTATTTTTAATTCATTTTAAAAAATGGAGGTTCTATTAAGTTGACTAATTTTTTTTTATTTTAATCTATTTTTATAATTATATTAGGGGGACCTATAGAGGTTTTGCTAACAGTTGCCACGCTTGGTACGTGGGTTAGGTTTCGATGATATTTTAAGAGGGACGCATTTGCCCATCCTTCGACTTTAAATTTTCGCATTCGTCTCTTACGATACCCATGGGAAAGAAAGGGGTGGCCTATTCTATGCCGGGACCACACGGCCTTTATTAATTAAATTAAATTATTTTATTTCAGTTTTCTAAAAGACTTTCAATGTAGTTCATTGTAGATTGTAGATCATGGTAGTACCAATGTACTTTTAGATAGGTGAGGATGAAGTCAGGTGATGACTGACAAATGGTTTCCAGGGTGAATAGCGTAGAAGTTTTTTTTTTGATGGGTGAAAATGGTATGGTAACCCGCCTGCGCTAACGGGATACGCTGGCGGAGCACCAGTGAAGGGTGATAGATGAGAACGAAAACAGGCCAGTTAGCCCATCATGATAAATTAATCAGGAATTAATCATGATAGTTTCCAGGAGGAACCACGTGGAGGTTGACCTAGCAATGGGGCTGTCAAACTCCATTGCCAACAATCTCTTCCCCCCTAAATAATTGGATTATGTTCAGGAAGGTGATGACATGTCCTTTTTGTACAGTTGGTTGTCGTTACCCCAACGCCCACTTCCCTGTTTGGCCCAGGGTTGGGTTTAGGGCTCGGCACTAGTCTAGGAAAACCATGGTGGTCCGGATGGTGCCGACACGACGGAAGTGTGAGGAAGGGTTCCCATTCCAGCTGGAAGATTGGCGGAGGTGGCTTCCTTAATGACGACTACAAATACCAAGTGGTGAGTTCTTTAACAACGCTGGTTGACCGCCAATTGTACTATTATGTATATATTTCAATCTGTATTTATGTTACTGTATTTCACTTGAATTGTTTTTTATGCAACTTAGAATGAAACAAGCTGACGGCACACCTGATGGAAAGTGGTAACCGTCGCCTATAGACATGAGCAATACCATGGATATAACAGAGTATACTGTTCCGCCCATGATACCCCCCATGCGTTGCCATTCCTAAACGCTAAGGTGTTATACCTCTGTACCCTGTAAATTCACTGCCATATCCCACCCTTCAAACCGAAACACAGCCATGCAAACACAACTGCTTCACGGTAGAAACACGAATGGGACAGAGGTGCACAAGCAAACGACTTTAAAATTGTGAAATAAATGCAAAGTTTTTTAGTGATAGTAGATTTATATATATCATATTTTATGAACAACGTTCTATTTCACCAACAGAGCACTTTTTAAATAATATATCAAAGACATTGAAAAATATGAAATTGTTTTTGAAAATTTACAAATAAATGTAATATTGCTACACACCTTAGAACAAGAATGGTGACGCACTGCAATTTTAGTGGAGCTTCCTCCCACGGACACTCAGGTTGTTTTTAATGGGTGAAAATGGAATGGTAACCCCGCCTGCGTTATCGGTATACGCTAGCGAGATACCAGTGAGAGACGATAGGTGACGATGAAGGCGGGTCAGTTGACCTACCGTGAAGAACCCGACAAGACTTTACCACGATAGTTTCCAGGGAGGACCGCGTGGAGGTCGACCTGGTAGGGTATATTGCTAGCAATAGTGCTGTTAGAACTCATTACTAACAGTCACTTTCCCCTTACACTCAGGTTATGGATTGATCTTTCTGCCGAGGCTTACCCTAGAGACTACAGCATGGGGTACTTCAAAAAGAGCGTATTAAGGTTTCTTATGAGTCGGCAATGCGTGCGTGACATGCCTGGTGTTACAGGTGTCCATAGGCTATGGTAACTCCATTTACCATCGGACTGGTCGTATGCTTGTTTGCCACCATTGTTGTATAAAGAAATCTTAATTATTTTTTTGGTTTCAGGGCGACAACGTACTTCATCCTTTCGGTAAGTGATAATTTAAATAATAATATTAAAATAATAAATGGTAACTATTTAATTAGCTTTTATATACATAACATAAAAAAATATTATGGTAGTTTTAATACCATGAAAAGAATAAAGTATACTGTAGATGGCGCTAAGCTACATCGAGCTGAATCACATTTTCTAACTCATACAATCGAATAATTTATTTCTATTTATTTATTTTCTGCATTTAATTAATTAAATATTTTTCCTGTATAAGTAATATACTTATTTATTTATTATTAATCCTATTTAATTATTTAATTTATTTATGCAGCAAGTATCCTAGGCACCCTACCGGCTGGCAGTGATCTCAAAGAAATTTTTTATCTTTAAATATATATATTTTTAAATTTTTTAATGTTATATTGGATTAAGTAATATTTTGTTATTATTTCTTCTCATTTATTAATAATTATAATATATAGTTATTAAATTGTTTTCAAATTTATTAAATTTAAATAAGTCATTAATTAACTTTAATTAATTAAATTAAATTAGTATATAATGCTATCTGTATAATGTAAATTTATATATATACTCGTATACAGAGTAAAATCAAAATTATATTATTTCTTTAAAAAAATATGGGTCAACAGATGACAAAATATTTTTAGCCGCTGATATGCGCGTCTGATAGTCAAATTAGTAGGTATCAATATTTTTGTTATTTTTGGACCCGTGTTATGTTGGGATACCTAGGGGAAAAGTCCGGTTTCACTAGTTAAATAGTTCTTTAAAAGGATGATAAATTAGTAGTGCTCAAAATTTTTTGTCATTTTTGGACTCACCTTCCTTTGGGGGAAATATCCAATTCCACTGGTAGAAAACTTCTTAAAAAGGATTTTTTTACTTTAATTTTTTTACTTTAATTTCACTCTATACACAGGATAATTCTGAAATTGTAATTAATGACAATTAATTAATGATTAATAAGGTTTTATTATTAATTTTCAGGTTTCTTGGCTAAGGGAGTAACCAATGTCGCCGGTGATGCGGCGGCCATTTTGACTGACATCGCCCATTTAAGTAAGTATTTTTACACTAGTCGAGGGCCATGGAATTGTCTGACATAAAGTGTATTTATTAAAAATATACAATTAAAACAAACAAAAAAACAGAAAAAAAATTGAATTTAATGAGTTATGAATTTTAATGCATACAATTTACCAAATAGCAGAAGTTAAAAAATCAAGACATCAAACAAACAATCAGATGTAATATTTACCTATTTCTATTTTTATTATTAGAAAATCAATCAACCAGAATAGTTCAATTTCCAAAAGCAACACCCGTTCACGAGTATGACGGATGAATAATTCAATTTCCACTTTACTTTTCAGAGTTCCCCGGCACCTTCGATGACACCATTGACGTCGTCATCAATGGTAAGTTTGAAATATGAAAGCTTAACCATTATTGGTCGTGTGGTCCCGGCATAGAATAGGACACGGCTTTCTTTCCCGTGGCTATCGTAAGAGCCGACTAAGGAAGGGCGCAGGCGGGGTCACTATTTCATTTTCAGTCATTAAAAAAAGAGCTCCCACTAGATGGAGTTAAGACCTCAAATGCATTGCAGGGAGTCAGTGGATGCAGGTGGCTCAGGACCGTTCTTTATGGCTGTCTATGGGAGAGGCCTATGTCTAACAGTGGATGGATTATGGCTGAAATGATGATGATGATGATGATGATGATGATGATGATGTATAGATATTATAACTACAATATATAGATATTTTGCTATATATTATCCAAATAAGTAGCGAATAAATCTACTCTTTAATATACACATGAGAAAGAACGAGACATCAATGTTCTGCGTTATTTTTTCTCATGCATGCGGTGACGTAAACGTATCTAATGCGAGTTTAACTTATCACTTACGTTAACCGTTTGTGTTTGTTACAATTATATTTTTTTTCTAGTGGCACGTGCGGCAAGGGGCATCATTAACGTTTTAATTCCAACCCGTGAGTATTATTATATTTTTTTTTTAAATAAAATATTTATAATGTTAGTAATTGTAAATGGCGGCAAACAAGCTGACGGCCCACCTGATGGAAAGTGGTAACCGTCGCCTATAGACATGAGCAGTACCATGAACATAACAGAGTATACTGTTACGCCCATGATACACCCCATGCGTTGTCATTCCTGAGGACTTAGGTGTTATTCCTCTGTACCGAAACACAGCCATGCAAAACAACTGCTTCACGGTAGAAACACGAATGAGACAGAGGTACCCAAGCAAACGACTTTTGTACAGTCTCCCTTTAGTAAACATATTGATATTATTAGAAAAAACCACTTTTTATAATTTGTAGAGAAAGTGTTTTTTCTATTGATATCAAATAAAAGACCTTGTATAAGGTATACAAGGTATTTTATTTCCTGTACCTTTTAGATTACCCGCTAATTATTTTTTCTCCAACTGGGTTGGTTAGAAGAGATCTCTTTCAGAGATATGTCCACCCTTGCTAACAAGTTGTTAAACTAATCGCTGTATATTTTTTCCACAAGTTCAATAAAAAAATATTTTAGTTCATCTTATTTCCTTAAAAACAATATTAAAATGGAAAAATCAAAAATAAAAAGGGTTATTATGAGCTATATGGGTTTGTTTTTGATTTATATGTTGAATCTATTTTCGAAAAGGTGCCTTTTCTAAGTTCGACCGTCTTATTTTCACGTGTCATCGACATCTTTGTAAATTGTTTTTTCTTATTAAATCAAGGATTCCAATCGTTTACTTAATTTAAATACTTATAATAATGACTACACAATACTAATTTTTATTTTTTTTTATTTCAGTTGGAACACTTTTTGGAAGTAGTAAGTATATATTTCCTTCTTTTTATCTGACCATTAGACCACTAACAACATAATAAAATATTATCTATGCATTTTTTAATAACAATAATTGAAGAATTAAATTAGAGAATTGGAGAAACAAGTTTTTTTTTGTTTTTTTTTTTTAATTTACGTTTAATTTGGGATTTTTGTTTTTTAACATGTCAATCCTATAAAATCTAAACAAGTTATCTACTAATTAATGAAATAAGTTAATTTTAATTATGTTGTAATAATATTAATATTTTTTCTTAGTTTTGTTTTTGATAAATAATAACTGGAATTTAATTTACTTTACATATTTATTACAAAATTAATTATTAATTTATCAAATTATTAATTTAATTAATGATCATTTATAAATAAATAATTATTAATTAAATCCAATAAATAATTATTTCGAGGATATATTTATTTATATTTTGTATTTTTTTTTACAGTCATCATCGCTATTGCCAAGATTGTCATCTGTGTTCTCGGATCCAGTTCTTCAGGATCAGTACTTGGTGGCCAAACAACAGGTAAATGTTTTATTTATAACTAAAATTAAAGTATTTAAATTGACAAGTTCTCTGCCTATACTGATGTGTATTTGCAAGGCTTTACAAAATATTTACAAAATGTTTATACAATTTTTATATATTGTATTTATTGTAAAGAGGAAAGAAAGAAAAAAATATTATTATTCAAGTAAACTTAGATTTAATTAATTTTGAATATTCATTTTTTCATTACCGCCCATTCGGAATGCAATTTCAGCCAAGGAGAACGGGCGAGAAAATCAGCTGTTGCTTTTTTTTTCAAAAAAAAAAGCGATTAAGTTAAATTAAAAACTAAACTATTAAATCGATTTTAATACAATTTCTATGTTATCTATTTATAAGTACATTCTGTTAGATAAAAGAAGAATGTTTAGAGATTCTATTACTGACTTTTTTAATTTTCTTATTTCATTGCTCGCAGCCTTAGGCTACGTTCCAGCGATATGCCGCAAGGATTATGGACACAAATGGGGCTGGTCTCACTACACCGGTGGCTATGCCAGCGCCGAAGACGTCCTCAAGTTCTACAACCTTGTAAAAGTTCGTTCCCAAATCGACGTCATCGTTGCAAAGTATACGAATGGAAAAGGCATCAGTTCTCTAGCAGGTGAGTTTTTTTTTATACAACTTAGAATGGCAAACAAGCTGATGGCCTACCTAATGGAAAGTGGTAACCGTCGCCTATAGCAGTACCATGTGCATGGTACATGAGCAGTACCATGCACATAACAGAGTATACTGTTTCGCCCATGATGCCCCCCATGCGTTGCCATTCCTGAGGACTCAGATATTATTCCTCTGTACCCTGTAAATTCACACCATATCCCACTCTTCAAACCGAAAGACAGCCATGCAAACACATTTGCTTCACGGTTAAAACACGAATGGGGTAGAGGTACCCAAGCAATCGACTTTTGTACAAAGTTTCCCTCTGGTGTATACGACTGTTTCTTAAAAACAGCGATTTCAATCATCTTAACACTAGATACAAATACAAACTTGCTGTTCCGAAGTATCGTTTAGAAAAAGTTAATAGGTCTTTTGTGGGAATGGGCATTAAATGTTACAATAAGATACCGAAGGATATTTTGGATCTACCTTTTAATAAGTTTAAAACTGTTATTTAAAAATAGTTATTGAACAAAACCTATTACGCACTAAACGATTGCTTGAATGACATATGTACATGGTGTCAGTCGATCATGCACGGGCATTTAACGACCATGTAACTTTAGATATTGTACATTTAAATAAATACACATAATGTTAACAGAGATTTAAAAGAGTAACTGTTGAGTTTCTTGCGAGCTCTTCTCAACAGATAACAACTTTCCGAACACCAACAGTAGATTTAAAAATGACGATTTAAAAGTGCTTGTAAACAAGTCGAATAGAATAAAGATGATTTAAATTTGAATTATGGATGTTATATCAAAAATGTTAATTTATTTCTGTTACAGGTGCTGATAGAATCGTTGTGGAGTTAGCAGACGAATTGGGAGCTTTGATTGATAGTAAGTACTTGATATTTTAATAAGTGTATCTTATACTATTTAATTTAAAATAAAATAGACAATAATTAAAAAATTAAAATAAATTTAATTATTAATTAAATTTAATAATTTATTTTACTTTAATTTTATAATAATTGTATATTAATTTGTACTTTATTTTTCAGGTAACAACGGTAAATGGAGTCGTGAGGATATTATTTCCATTTTCGTCAAGGGTGAGTGGTTTTTCTCTTTTATAATTTTAATGCTCTTTGTTACCCTGAGTTCTTTGTTACCCTTTGGCACCACAACGGTTCATCAGCGGCAAACAAGCTGACGGCCCACCTGATGGAAAGTGGTAACCGTCGCCTATAGACATGAGCAGTACCATGGACATACAGAGTATACTATTTCGCCCATGATACTCCCCATGCGTTGCCATTCCTGAGGATTCAGGTGTTATTCCTCTGTGCCCTGTAAATTTATGCCATATCCCACCCTTCTAATCGAAACACAGCTATGCAAACACAACTGCTTCACGGTAGAAACACGAATGGCACAGATGTACCTAAGCAAACGACTTTTGTACAAAGTCTCCCTCTGGCGATTGTAATCACCTGTAGTGTGTTGGAGTTTGATTGTCTGTAAACTGTAGGTAGTAAATTAATAAAATTAAAAAGAAAATAGCCTCCCAATATATTTGCCTCTTTCAATCCTGTTCAATGTAGTTTATATTTTTTCTTTCCTTTCCAGTTTCCACGGTCATTGGTGTGGTCGGTAACAGTTACTCTAGCGGACGTGAGTATTAAAATTTTATTATTATTTTATTTATAACTAGCGGCGCGTCTCGGCTTCGCACGGGTGGACATTTTTACAACATTTTAAAAAAAGGTTATTGTGACATAACGATAATAGTTGGACATATAGTGTCGCGAAGTTTTTTGTAGTTATTGATATTTTCTTCAATATTGTAAAACATACTTTTGTTCTATCACCAATAGTTTCCGCAGCGCACGCGACCAAAGATATTTTATAGCATTTGTTTACACCTTGTGTTACGGTACTAAAGTTTTAGTAAGGACTAATCATTTCTAGCAATAAATATAGCCTATGCTACTCAGGGTGAATGTAGCTTTCTAATGGTGAAAGAATTTTTGAAATCGGCAACGTAGTTTTTGAGTTTATTCATTACAAACATACATACACACAAAAATACAAATCTTTCCTCTTTATAATATTAGTATAGATGTAGATAACGTTATTGATCCCATACTAAAATATTATATTAATATAATAAAAGTTCAATACATAGAGTTCATCACCATCATAATTACCATCATCATCATCTTCATCATATCAGCCTTCCCTATAAACTGTCATAAGGAACAGGACCGTTCTTTATAACAGTTCACCATTGGGTACATTTTGCCAGTGGTTGCCACGCTTGACAGGCGGTTTGGCAACCGCAGTTTGATTTTTGGCTATGTTTCCAGTGATGGGAATTATGCTATATAGTAAACAATAGTAATATCAAAACTTTCCAAAAAAAAAATAGCAAAAATATGTATGTAATATACACTTGGGCATTAAAATGTTAGTATATTTAGTAAAATATTTTTATTAATTTATTTATTAAAATTTTATTACAACTAAAGTGTAAAAGTCAATTTTTAACCGACTTCAAACAAAAGAGGTTCTCAGTTCAGTCGGTTGTTTTTTTATGTTCATTACCTCATAACTTCGTCAATTATAAATCAATTTAGAAATTTCTTTTTTTATCAGAAAGGATATACTAATAGATTGTCCCATGTGAATCGGTTCGTTTTGTATCTTTAATTATATATCTGGTGAACTGTATACAGGAATAATAAATAAATAGTTTTTTAGTATTTTTTTTATGGTTTGATAATTACAATATTAATTATACGTCTGTTTTTTTTTCCAGTTGGTGCGGATCTCGTCGATTGTAAGTTGTATTTTACATTATTTATTTATTTAGTAATTCTTTCTTAACGTTTATAATTACACCTCTCCATCCAAAGGTTGCCTGCAAGAGATCGCTCTTAGCGATAAGGTCGCCCATTGTTTTCTCACTGTGATCATTTCTTGTAATTGTTTGTATCTATAATAAGTTTACTATTACAATCTTATAGAGGAAACAATAAAGAGTTTCTAAATCTATCTCTCTACCTCTTTACAATAGTTTTTTTTTTTTTTTTAATATTCAATAGTTAATTTTAATCTCTCGCGGTGTTTACACATATTTTAAATACACAATCGGGACTTAACGTGACGTAAGCATCTTTACAAGTAAATAGTACCTACATATCTGCTTTTTTATTGCCGACGTTTCTACGTGGATTGCACCACGTCATGGTCACGACAGGACACATCGCTAAAGCAATCTCTTCCAATCAACCTTTGGGTAGAGGAGAAAGACAAAAGACGGTAGTTGTTTGGCGCAAGAAGTGTAATTAATAAAAAAAAGAAAAACGCTGACGTTAATAATAATTATTAATTAATTATTAATATTATAAAATAAAACATAAGCGGCGTAATATATATTTATAATCAATTATATTTAAATGGTAATTATTTATAATGTATTTTCTTTTTCAGCCATAATCGCTTACGCTGAAAGCAGTTTCAAGGCGCAAGGATATTCTGGTGAGTTTTATAATATATTGTTATTACATTATATTATAATATATGTAATGGAAATAGATAAAATAAAAAAAAAAATATAAATTTGTAAATAAATGTATACATTATAATATTTTATTAATACAATTTTATGATTTTTTTTATACCACTGAGGTGGCAAATAAGCATACGGCTCACCTGATTGGAAACAGTTACCGTAGCCTATAAACAGCTGCAATACTAGAAGCATGGCGCGCGCGTTGCCAACCCTGAAAGAACCTCTTTACCCCTATTTTGAAGAATCCCATGCTGTAGTCTCTTGGAAAAAATTTGACAGGGAGCTTACTCCATAACTTGAGCTTTCGTTGGAGGAAATATCAACTTGTATAATGTTATAAGATACATATCTTGGTCATAACATCATCATATCAGTCTTTGGGAGGGTTTGCCAGTAGTTGCTACGCTTGGCAGACGAATTGGCAACCGCAGTTAGTCTTTGGTGATGTTTTAAAACGGACGCTGCTACCCCTTCCCTGACTATTAAGTTCCCTTAGTCGCCTCTTACGACACCCACGAGAAAGGATTCATGCTGTTTATTTCGGTTACTTTCCATCAGGTGGTCTATCAGCTTATTATCGTTACATTCTGCAAAAAAAAAAAACTATAATTTATCATATAGTCAAGTAAATTTTGATACCCGAAGTCAATATTTACAGTTGCATATATATTATAAAAATCAATATTAATATCTAAATAATTATTATGATAATAACTGACAATGAAATTGTCTTGCCTTTTTCCAGACCTGGTTTCTTTGGGAGTGGAGATTAAGAAGAGAATTTCTGCATGCGGACGTTATAACTTCAATGGTGCCCTAAAATGGGACTCTGAGTCAAACAACAGCAGTGATTCCAGTGAAGAGTCTGACAACAATTCCAGCAGCTCAAACAACTCGAGCAACAACTCTAACAATAGCTCCAACAACAGTTCAAACAATTCAAGCAGTTCGAACAATAATTCTAACAACAGTTCAAACAACAATTCCAACAGTAATTCAAACGATTCCAGCTCCAACAATTCGAGCAACAACTCTAACGATAACTCTAACAGTAGTTCAAACAATTCAAGCAGTTCAAACAACTCAGGCAGTTCAAATAACAATTCCAGCTCTAACAACCATTCCAATAGTAGTTCAAACAATTCCAGCTCTAACAACAATTCCAACAGTAGTTCAAACAATTCCAGCTCTAACAACAATTCCAACAGTAGTTCAAACAATTCCAGTTCTAACAATAATTCTAACAGTAGTTCAAACAATTCAAGTGGCTCTAATAATAATTCAAACAGTAGTTCTAATAATTCAAGCTCAAGCAACAACTCTAGCAATAATTCCAACAGTGGTTCGAATAACTCGAGCAGTTCCAGCTCCAACAATCATTCCAACAGCGGTTCGAATAACTCAAGCAGTTCCAGCTCCAACAATAATTCCAACAGCGGTTCGAATAACTCAAGCAGTTCAAGCTCCAACAATAATTCCAACAGCGGTTCGAATAATTCAAGTAGTTCAAGCTCTAACAATAATTCCAATAGTAGTTCGAATAACTCAAGCAATTCAAGCTCAAACAACAACTCTAGCAATAATTCTAACTCTAGCAGTAACTCCAACAGCGGTTCTGACAGTTCAAACAACTCAAGCGGTAGCTCTAATAACAGTTCCAACGGTAATTCAAATAACTCGAGCAGTTCCAACTCAAGTAACTCTGGCAGTAATTCAAGTACCTCAGGAAACTCAAGCTCAAACAGCAATTCCAATAATCATTCGGGCAGCAACTCAAATAGTAGTTCCAATAACTCAAGCGGTTCCAACTCTAACAATAGCTCTAGCAGCAATTTAAATAACTCAAACAACTCAAGCAGCAGCTCTAATAATAATTCAAGCAGCAATTCAAATAACTCGAGCAGCTCTAATAATAGTTCTAGCAGCAATGCAAATAACTCGAGCAGTTCCAACAACAGTTCTAGTAGCAACGCAAATAACTCGAGCAGTTCCAACAACAGTTCTAGTAGCAACGCAAATAACTCGAGCAGTTCCAACAACAGTTCTAGTAGCAACGCAAATAACTCGAGCAGTTCCAACAGCAATGCAAATAACTCGAGCAGTTCCAACAACAGTTCTAGTAGCAACGCAAATAACTCGAGCAGTTCCAACAGCAATGCAAATAACTCGAGCAGTTCCAACAACAGTTCCAGCAGCAATTCAAACAACTCGAATAGTTCCAACTCCAGTAGCGCTAATAACAATTCCAGCAGCAATTCAAGTGACTCAAGCAATTCAAGCAACAATTCTAGCAGCAACTCAAGCAACTCTAGCTCAAGCAATAGCGCTAACAATTCCAGTAGTAATTCTAGCAATTCTAGCTCAAGCAACAACGCTAACAATTCCAGCAGCAATTCTAGTTCAAGCAACAGCGCTAACAATTCCAGCAGCAATTCTAGCTCAAGCAACAGCGCTAACAATTCTAGCAGCAACTCAAGTAACTCAAATAATTCTAGTAGCAGCTCCAATAATAGTTCCAGTTCTAACAACAGTTCCAGCTCTAACAATAGTTCCAGTTCTAACAATAGTTCCAGCTCTAATAACAGTTCTAGTTCTAACAGCAGTTCTAATAATAGTAGCAGCTCTAAGAATAGTTCTAGCAGTAATTCAAGTAGCTCGAACCATGCAAGCTCCAAGGGCGAATCAAGCGAAAGTTCTAGTCACAGTTTCAAGTCGGGAGGATGTTAGTTATGCTAACTTATTGATTACAGCTCGTCGAGTAAAGAATCATGAAACGGCTTTTATTAAACGATAAATGTACTTTATAAATAATTAATTATTCAAAATTAAACTCTTGTAAATTAAAGATTGTTTATGTAAACCTCTTTTACAAATTGTTGTTAATAAATATTCGTTGCAGTTTATCTTCAGTATTTTCTTTTCTTACCTGTATTTTTCTCATAATTTTAGAAATTGAATAGAAATAATCATTTCAGATGTTGCATCATGGTATATAATAATATAGAGACCAAATAAATTAGATAAATAGATGTTTTATTCCTAACAATAATAATAACAATTATCGTTATGTCGGTGAACGATCTTATCCCAACCAGTCTGGAACAACATCTCAGACGGTTGGGATTCCGAGACGGCTCACTCCCGGGAAAGATGCGGAAAGCGGTGCTCTTAGATTCCGCCCGCATTGTACTCCGATTTCACTCCCTAGGGCCCTGAACTACGGCCGACTGTGCTTCTGCCGGCAGTTAGTTTACCATTTCCTTTCCTTAAGATGAGAATTTTCGGAAAATTTAAAACAATAATAACAGGTAAAAATAAATAACAGTAAAAAAAAAAAAAACAATTCACTTTGCTGGTTGCTGGAGCCACCTCAGCTGTTGCTATATATGCACACCTAGATGTACCTACACAGCGAGATGTACCTATATAGCGTTGATTTTCAAGCGGCCCCTTAACTCATTTAATTTAGCATTCATGCAAGTTGCCAATACCCATTTTCCGAATGGGAGCCTCAATACGCTGATCAAAAAGTAAAAATATAAATAAACAAAAAACTATAACCAAAATTATAAAAAGAAACAAATTCTGAATACAAAATTATTGTTTGTCTGTTTGGTATTTGTAAGGTATTGGAATCATATGTACTTTATATTATTCTCAATTTCGTGTATAATATAGTATATGTCATATATGTGTAAGTATATTTGTTATATATATATATTTATTCGTTTATATATGTAATTTTAGTATGTATGTATATCAATAATTAGTAGTACCGCATTCGAGTATTCTGACACTTCCCTATGGTTGACTGGGAGAGAATGCTTTTAGCATTAAGTCCGCCATGTACACATATTTGTACTAATGAATAAATAAATAAATAAATAAAATATGTAGATAGATATGAGTTAAATGCGTTCATAAATAAAGTTTGAGTTCGAAATGTGGTACATTTACCAATTATCTGTCAGTTTTTAAAACCAGTTGAAGAATTTTGAATATTTCTGATTGGATATTGACTTACCAAAGATGTCGGAATAGAGTAGATAGAATGCATAATTCACATAGTGTGTTTGCTCGTTGTATTTATGACATTGCCAATGCATTAGAGAGGGATAGACATACAATAAAAACGCATCTACCTTTTGACTAGTTCGTAGAAGTCAAATTCGTCAATTGGTTTTTTGACCGTATAACCCTACCAAATTGGGGGGGGGGGGGGGGGTTAAATTGTCAGTAATGTAGACTACCAGTCCCATTATTACCAATATACCCTATCAGGTCGACCTCCACGTGGTCTTCCCTTCTCACCTATTATCTCTCACTGGTGCCCCGCCAGCGTATAGCGTTAGCGCAGGCGAGGTTACCTCTCCATCGTTATCCATTAAAAAAATAGCCCTACCAAATTCAGACACAACCTGCTTGCATACTTACTTTCAACATACACTGTGTCGAATATATAATCTAGTAATGTAAATGAACAAAAATTTTACATACACATTTTCTATACACTAGCCTATTGTGAATTGAGAAAAATAGCAACTGATGGTGTATCTTTCGTCCTCTTTTTACTAATTATATTTGCATAAGAAGAAAGGAGGCAACCATATGATTTACAGTTTTTATTTTATCATTCCGTCTATTTTATTCCTTGTTCTTAGTGATATACTGTTGTGCCTACGAACTAAAATGTGAATCATAGAAAACGTTGCATATACATAAATCTACAACTAAAAACTGTTTTGGAATAATTCAAATACATTTTTTGCCATCGAAATGCAATTTTTCATGACAGCTTAATAGGTATATAATTCAAGGTCGGCAACGCGCGCGTAATACCTCTGGTATTGCAGGCGTTCATAGGCTACGGTAACCGCTTACCATCAGGTGGGCCGTATGCTTGTTTATATTCAATAATTGACGTTTTAGTTCGTTAACAGACTACATTTTGTCTTGGACTTTTTGGTTTTTGGCTGTCTTGAAAAGTTTGCTTTCAGTAATAAAACCGCCTTACTTATACAATTGTATCGTTGTGTTTGTAAATTGTCTTGCTTATTCCCTATATTGTATAATGCAAACAAAGTATAGTCATTCATTCTATACTTTTTAAAAATTTTATTGATAATCAGTATTATTGAAAATTGTTAAAAACAACTATGTTTTTGGAAATTGACAGAATGTACAGAATTCGCCATACTTTGTTATGTTATGTTATACCCTCTCACCGTACTGGTTACGCTTCAAACTCTTTTCTCCTACATTCTTCACGACTCTGGAACGCGCTTCTAGATGCCATTAAGAGACTATCGACTAAACCGTCTTTCAAAAAAAGCGTTCACGCTCACTTTTTATCTTTATCCGAGCAGTAAGTGCTTTATATTATTCCCAAATTCCTGTATAATATAAAATATATCATATATGTGTAAGTATATTTGTTATTCATATATATTTATTGGTTTATATATGTAATTTTAGTATGTATGTATATCAATAATTACTAGTACCGCATTCGAGTATTCTGACACTTCCCTATGGTTGACTGGGAGAGAATGCTTTTAGCATTAAGTTTGCCATGTACACATATTTGTTAGTACTAATGAATAAATAAATAAATGTTCTGAAATGCTTTCTTATAATGCATGGCAATGGAAACAAACGCCTTAGTTCTCACGTATGGTAACACTTATATAGTACTTTAAACATAAGTATAATAGTATGTCTGTAATAAACCAGATGTTCATATCTATGGGGAATTGTTACCAATTTTCATTACATGAACAACTTGTTTGACAGATTGTGATGCATCTTATGCATCGCCAATTTGGCTATGGTGTTATATCCAGTAGTTTCAATGCCATATCCCATCTTTCAAACCGAAACACAATTTATGTAGTCCTGGCACACATCACTATATAATCTGTCATTCGTGTTTCTACCGTGAAGCAGTTGTGTTTGCATGGCTGTGTTTCTGTTTAAAGGGTGGGATATGGCGTGAATTTACAGGGTACAGAGGAATAACACCTGAGTCCTCAGGAATGGCAACGCATGGGGGGTATCATGGGCGAAACAGTATACTCTGTTATGTCCATGGTACTGCTCATATCTATAGGTGACGGTTATCATTTTACATTAGGTGGGCCGTCAGCTTGTTTGCCATTCTAAGTTGTATAAAAAAAAAAACTGTCCACTATTGAACATAGGCCTTCCCGTATTGTAGGTTGGAGTGGTTACTACGCTTGGCTAGCGGATTGGGAACCGCAATTAGGCTTTAGTGATGTTTTAAGAGGGACGCTGTTGCCTATCCTTCGACTATTTTTTTTTAATGGATGATAATGGAATGGTAACCCCACCCGCGCTATCGGTATACACCGGCGGAGCACCAGTGAAAGATGATAGGTGAGGATGAAGCAGGTCAGTTAGCCCATCGCGACGAATTCAACAAGAATTGTTCACGATGGTTTTCAGGAGGAACCACGTAGAGGTCGACCTAATAGGGCATATTGCTAGCAATGGGGCTGTCAAACCCCATTGCTATCAATCCCTTTCCCCCCATCCTTCGACTATTAAGTTCATTTAGTCGCCTCTTATAAGACAAACGGGAAAGGAAGGGATGGCCTATTCTATACCGAGACCACATGGTAATATGTATAATGTAGCTGATAGGAAAAATTTGAAACTGGAATTTTTGGCAAGTAAAAAATCTGTTAAATTTTGGTGAACAATTTTGGTTTCGAGTCTTTAGAAAAAATGCGTACTTTATATACTAAGTCAGCACATAGGATATTTTATGTACTTGTTTTCGCGAACGAAGGCGCAGCGTGCAGTACATCTATTAACATAATAAATATGAAAGTTTTCAAAGATGAATGAATGGATATTTATTGCTCTTTAATGCTAAAAATGCTGGATATCATCAGGAAAAAGGAGTGTTGGAAGGCAAAGAAAGAGATGGGCTGATGACATAATAAAGACAGCAGGTAAAAACTGGACAAATATTGCTACAGATAAGGAGAAGTGGAAAAAGATGGAGGAGGCTTTTACCATTGGGGACCACTGAAGTGGATAAAACGCTATAATAATAATAATAATAACTATTGAACGGATTCAAACTAAATTTGGTATATAAGTAGGTTAAACAAAAAGGAAGGGACAAAGGGATGGCCCATTCTTCTGGAATCACACAGCGGTACATATTTATTTATTATTTATTTATTTATTTATTCTTTATTGCGCAATAAAACTTTGTACAAATGGCGAGCTTAATGCCATATGGCATTTTTTACCAGCTAACCATTAGGTAAAAACAGAGAGCGTATGAAGGGCAGATGTGGTGAAAAATATATGACATAATTATAGCAATATACTGTAATAATAATACATGAGCAATATACGTATTATACATAAATACTACTTGTAAAATATATATTTCTCAAATGTGCTTGGAGTTGTGAGCATTATTTTGACAATCTTCTTCGAGATAAATCAAAATTGCCGTACTGCCCAGATACATGCAGGCAGTGGCCGGCAAAAGTTGTATGAAAATCCATATCTGTCGTGTTTTGCGGCCAGATAAATTACTATGTAAACTCATATCTATTCTGTAATTTAAATAATAATAGAATGACCTTTTACTTCGAAAAATGGCTACCAAGGAGGTAACTAATACAAGGTTTTATTTAAATTTCTAACTGGCTTGCAAATAGAAAGCAGTTTATTGAAAAAATAACAAAGGAACACTATGATGCTTGAAAAATTATTATTGTTCGTTATTGAACTTAAAAAGTAAAATTGTGTTTTTGATTTCCGCGCATTGTTTGAGAAAAGTACTATACAAGCCTTGGCCACAACTAGGCATTGATGGACTCACGTATGCGTGCCTTGGCTGCGCCTTGGCCCACATTTG